GGTCAGGGACTAATTTACTGTCCTATTCCCAAAAGTTAGCATAAAGTATCATGCAGAGCTGACTTAATGAGAACCTAGATCCTACTTTAAAGTAACTGGTCTGGGTAATCTTATGAGAAAAGAGATGTGAAAAATGAGCCAAAGGAAAACCAAAACTAAGGGAAATTAATCTCATACTGGGTAGTTAAAAGAACAATGCCTAATGCCAGATCGCTGCTAGTGATGGAAGATTGGAGTCCATGATCTGCCCTCTCCTTTCTCCCTTTATTTACTGCACACTCTTTGCTGCTCACTTGTTTATCCCTATTAGATGTCTTCTTGGTTTAGTGACCATGAACATATGTATTTCAGATTTTCTTGGGGGCAGTCCCAATTTGAAACATACAAATCAATGGTTAGATGGCATAGTAGATAAAGTGCCAGGCTAGACTCAGGCAAACTCATTTTCCTGAGTTCAAATCTGGCCTCAGACACTTAATAGCTGTATCACACTGAGCAAGTCACTTAACCCTGTTTGCCTCAGTTCCTCATCTGTAAAAGGAGCTGGAGAAGGAAACTGCAAACCACTCCAGTATCTTTGCCAAGAAAACCTCAAATGGGGTCATGAAAAATTGGACACAACAAAAAACAACAAATTCACAAATCAGGGGGGAAGAAAAACAAAACCCAAAATCCCCAACCAATGTTTTATCAGAGCATATGTGCTGATTGTTGGTTCAGAAAATGTAAAAAGCATACCTACGTGCTCCCTTACACGAATCTCAGAATTAGGAGGGACCTCAGATATTTAGTCCAGTAAATACTTAAAACACATATTTCCCTCTATATCTGTGCCAGGTGCTATCCAGACTCTACTAGAATACTTCTAGTGAAGAGGAACTTACTACGAATGCAGTCCATTCCATTTTTGAGCAGCTGTATTGCAAGGTTTTTTTCATTCTATCACTTGGAATCTCCCCTCAGTTTCCTTCCACTCATTAGTTTTTTGTTACAAGACCAAGTGAAATAAGTTAATGGGAAGCTAGGTGTTGCAGTGGATAGAGTATAGGGCCTAGAGTCATGAAGATCTGAGTTCAGATCTGGTTTCAGACACTAGCTGTATGACCCTGGGCAAGTCACTTAACCTTGATTTCTTTCCTCTTCTGTAAAATGAGTTGGAGAAAGAAATGGCAAAATCATGATAACATCTTTGGCAAGAAAATCCTAAATGGGGTCACAAAGAGTTGGGCATGACTGAAACAACTGAACACAGAGTAAGTTAAATCTCTCTTCCACATGACAGAATTTTAAAAAACAAACTTAAAAAAAAAACTACTATGCTCCATGCTGCCTTTCCAAGCCTTCTCTTTTCATTCTCATGTAATCTTCATGCAGCACAGCTTTAAGTCCCTTCACCGTCCTGGTTATTCTTCCCACTTTAACCGGTCTGTCTGAAAGGAGTTGCCCATAAATCTGGAGGGAGAATCCTCAACACTCCAACTCTATTTTTAGCTGCTGTCAGTCTCCTACAGTGGGCTCTAGATGAAACAAGATTACTGACTTAGAGAAAATGTCACATCTCGCTGTGCACCTATCTTGCTTAAGAGAAAACATGATTCATTGAGAACCATTATTTCTATTCAACTTAAAGGTAGGATATGGGGGAGGGGTCATTTAGGAGCAGTAAGGGAGAAATTATCAAAGAGGGAAACCAAGCCCCAAATCCTTATTCATCATAACTCAACACATTTGTAGGCTTTAATTTTAGGAGGATGGGTTTTATATATAAATAAAGGCAGGCTGTGTCTTGATAATTCTTCAGATTAACTTTGCAGCAACATTAGAAATCCCAATAATGGTTTGTTTTTATTTACCAAAGGTGACAAATACATTTTAAAAGCTATTTTAGCAATGAGCCATCTCTTACTTTTTCAGATTATGAATTATAATAATCTAAAATATTTTGCCAAAATTTGTTAGAATAACCACCCAAATCAGCAATTAAAGTGCTTTATTCAATTAAAACCGCAGTCATAAATTCAGACTATTCTTCAGACACACAATTTTAACTATTAACATACACATAATTTTAAAATTTGTTATAAAATGTGAATTAAAAAAATTAAATAGACTTTTGCTAGGTTAGCATGAGAAATTAGAAATCTTGGGTTAAGGAGTTAACAGTCTTCATTTCCCTATTTATTCTCAGACAGTCTCCCTAGAGTAGGGGGCTTAACCTCTTTTTGTATGTCATGGACCCCTTTCACAGAATAATGTTTTTAAATGAATAAAATAAAATGTACATGATTACAAAGAAAACAAAATATAATGAAATAAAGATGCAATTATTCCCCCTCTTCAAGTTCATGGGTCCCTTGAAACATATCTGCAAGCCCCTTAGAGGTGTGTGGACCTCAGGTTCAAACCCCTGCCCCAAGAAGTTGTTCTATACCATCTGAAATTATAACAGCACAAAAAAATCCAACAGACTCCTTTATGTGTGTGAGGTACTGTGCCCTCACTTCCTCTTCATAAGAATCCTAGCTCTCTTTTTTATCCTTTTTATACTAAGATTACCTCATTCTCTACTTCACATAGAAGAATGAGAACTGCTCCCTCATAGATTATCATCTTCGCTCCAACCAGTCATTATTCTTAATTTAACTTCTCATCCTTCCTTTCAATCTCAGTGGAATTGAGACCCTTTTTCTCCTCCCCAAGGCCAACCCTGAACCTTCATGACTTCTCTAGGATCTTGCTTTCTCAAATATCCATTCCTTCCTAGTAATTCAATCTGTCTCTTCATAATCTACTACCTATTTTTAAACATTAAGTGGCTCCATTTTCCCATCTTCCTAACAGAAACATATTCCTCTTGACCTTGGTATTCCTCCTAGCTACAATCCCAGTTCTCTCCTTCTTTTCATTGTCTCACACTTAAAAATGCATGATCTACACTTACTGCTTCCCTTTCTTAGACTCCTATTCCCTTTTGCTACCCTGTGAGGGACAACAGGGGATAGTGGATGAAAGGTCAGCCTTTGTTTCAGGAAAGACCTGGACTCAGTCCTTCTCTGACACTTCCTCTGTGATCCTGGGCAAGTCTCATTACCCTAGGTAACTCTCTAATAGGCTGAAGAAGAGTTGCCAAACCACATTAATGGAGAGAGTTCCCCTATATCAAGAAAATTATAGCTACAGTTAAAAAAACCCTCTTACTCTTCAATTTTTTTTTTTAGGCGATTGGGGTTAAGTGACTTGCCCAGGGTCACACAGCTAGTAAGTGTCAAGTGTTTGATCTAAGGCCGGATTTGAACTCAGGTACTCCTGAGTTCAGGGCAGGTACTCTATCCACTGTACCACCTAGCTACCCCCCCTCTTACTCTTGATATCATGTTACTAAGAATAACTGCTTACTTCTGGAAAGTCTTTTCTCTAGGTGCCCTGGCTCTCTTGCACCCTGTGGGCCCTCTTGTTTTTCCTGGAATCTTAAATCCTTATGTCTCTCTTGAAGAATCACATCCACATCCACTCCACATCCATGGCTTCAACTGTGGCCTTTATTTGGATGACTTCAAAATCTTTATCTTTAGCCTTGACCTCTTGCCTTCATTCAGATTTTCCATGTGTCTGTATAGTATCTCCCCCCGGGATTTCTTGCCATCAGCTCAAATACAACACATTTAAAACTAAACTCATTCTATGTCTGAACCAACTAGTTTCCATTCTGTCTTGGCCACACTGGCCAGCTGGGAGTTTCTTGAACAAGACACTCTGCCTGTCCCTCTGGCCTTTCTACTGGCTACACTCATTTCTGGAATGCTCAGCCTCCTCAACTCCATGTCAGGTTCCCTGCCTTACTTCAAGACTCAAGTCAAATCCCATCTTGTGTAGGAGGCCATTCCCCAAGTGGCTAGTTAACAGAGTTAACAGGTTACTCTAACTTGAACATGTCTATTTGTTTACATGTTATTTTCCCCATTGGAATGTAAGCTCCTTGAGGGCAGGGGTTTTTTTTCTTTCTATGTATTTCTGACAGTATCTGCTATCTATTAAGGGCTTAATAAATGCCTGTTGACTACCTTCTTCTCTATTCAAATTTCACCAAGTCCTGACAATCCTTTCACTAAGATCTTTATCTTTCTTCATACCAATCACCACTTCTCTAATGCACATTCTCATCACATCATAACAGGATTACATAGGTGAACTACTTCCATTCTCTTAACCCTGAAATACTCCCTTGCACACCACTGCCAAATTAATCTTTTTCTTTTTAAAGGCTTTCATCATATAGTTTTCCTATTTAAGAATCTATGGTGACTTCTTGCCGTTAAACTTTTCTGCCTGATTTTCAAAGGCCTTTAAGACTGTGGCCTTTCACTAAGGATCCAACCTCATCTCTTACTACTTCCCTATATGATCTTTCCTTCCTCTCTAATCAAATTTTTATCACTCTCCCCTCTACCCTCCATGTAATATTCTTGAATCTCCATTTCCATATTTTATTTATTCTGCTATTATGCCTAGAATGAACTCTGGTGATGAAATGTCCCAAGGTAAATTCCAAATAGAAAGCTTTTCCAAACTAGGTGTACACTAATTGATAGCACCCTGAATAACAACAAGAGGGACAAGATGGTTTCTGTCCTATCTACTAAGAAATTTGAGAGCTTCTAGGCCTATCTGATCTATGATAAAAATGGTATGCAAATTCTTAAACTAAAATGACAGGCAGACAGGTACTTAATTTTGTCTTCAGAAACATAGAAATTCATGCCACTGAAATTGGCTATGATTTTTAGAGATATTCTATGGAAGAAAAAAAAGGAATCTTATACAGTGATATGATAATAGTAGTAAGGCCCATGTAACTTAACACATAACTTAGCACTGGCAGAAGGAACACATGTACTGTGTGTACACCCTAATAACGTGGAATGGGACACAAAGATATTAGAGAAAAGGGAGGCAAATATTTTAAGATCATAAAACCTAAGAATAAACTCAAAGTAGTCAACTTTGATGTTGATAAACAACACTTTATTTTTCCACCCTAACACTCTAAAACTACAGTAATAAACAAAGTGCAAGTCCTTTGAAAGGTCAACTTTGTTAAACAAAACTTCTATTAAATATATTTCATAGACCATAAGCATCATATTTTCTCAATTCCTTGCAGATACTCAGAGCCATGCAGCAGAGTTGGACTTTTGGTGTTTAAAGCCTGCTTCATGTTTTATTATTATTATTATTATTATTATTATTATTATTGCTAAAGAATATCAATTAGTTGTCAAGGTTTCAGCAACAGTGATTAATTAATTTTTGAAAGCTCCACAAGATATTTGGACATAAAGTCATGAATCCATACATCAGTATCTGGTAGTGACGTGTCCACCAAGTAGGCTATTATTTTTCGATCCCAAGGATTGGTACTTTCAACAACTGACTGTACCAATGCTACCAAAGGTTTCTTCTCAACATGATTTCGAAACACTATTGAAGCTTCTTCGGACCACTGACTGCATCTCACTCCTAGTACAAAAATACAAAGAATATGCTGTAAGAACATACTTCTGCAATCAAGTTTTATTTTATTCAAAGTAGTCTGAAGAGTCCAAGTTAGAATTCTATAAAAAATAAGGGAAGCAAGGGAAAAAATTTTTTTTAAGTTCTTGCCATAGCTTCCCCAATCTGGATTGAGCCACTTTTATGATCCCATACTTTTGAGTGCACAAAAATGTAATTAATTCAATAACATTAATTACCTACTATGTATCAAAAACTAGAAATAGAAAACCAAGAGGGTCTGAGCCCTCAAAGAGTTTTACATTGTAGAAGATCCCTTGGAGTGTGATGATGTGGAATAAAATAAGGAACATATAATGACCTTATCTCTTTGCTCAATACGATTGATTTCAAAAGAGAAAGGATAGTCCATTTACCTCATAAATAATTAAGATACAGTACACTTAGGAGTGTTCCTAGGAAGAGTAAATGCAAGTATGTGTGTGTGTGTGTGTGTGTGTGTGTGTGTGTGTATGTGCACGCACGCGCGTGTGTATGTGTTAAGGCTTATCTTAGGCAAGCTACCCTCTTTGGGCCTCAGTTACTTTATCTATAAAATGAGGAAGTGAGACTAAATAATCTTTTAAGTGCCTTCTACTTCTGGGACTTTGAATCTATGAATGACATAAGTAAAGTTTCTCTAATTCTAGATTCTTTCATTATTTTTAACACAACTTATTCTAATAACAAGCAGTATAGGATTGTGAGCTGGGCAACCTGAACTAAGGTTTCTGAGCAAGTCACTGAGGAGTTAGGATAATAAAGCAAGTAAAGGCCCTAAAATTATCTAGTTTACCCTTTTTCATTCTACAAATGAGGAAACTGAGGCCCATCTAATGACTTCCTGAAGTTCACACAGGTAGTAGGTAGCAAAGTCTACTACCAAAGTTTGAGCTAGGTTCCTTCCCAGCTATAAATTTAGTGTTCTTCCCACCACACCCAAGTACCTCTGTCCTCTCTCTGGGCCATGGTTTTCTTTTCTTTTAAAATGAACAGACTGAACTAGATAATATTTAAAGTTTCTTTTCATTTGTCAGATTCTATGATCCAAGATCTCTAGAGCTCAGATTGCAAGTGCTATGAGACACAACTTCACACAATCTTTAAAACTGAACTGAAACTTAATAAAATTTCATTTCGTAAACTTGTATATCTAGTTTGATGTTAAGTCTATAATGAAGTTAGTATGTTGGTATAAAGTTAGATCAGGTTTAATAAAAGTAATGGAATTTAGGCATAATATATGTATTTATGCCTTTTGCTTTCATGTTATTCATTTCTGAAAATATTCCTTCCCCACTCAATAAGGCATCCCTCATCAGGAAGATTAATAAAAAGAAAAAAAAACCAGTATAGCAAAACCAAATATACTGCTCGCATTTAACAGTGTATTTGTAATATTCCATATTTATAGCTCCCCAGTGACAGGAAGTCTCAACTTTTTACTAGGGATATAGCTGGTCATTATAATTACATAGTGTTCAGCTTAGTTTTATTTTGTTCCTAACATTTCTATTGTTTGTCCCTGTGTATATTATTTTCCTGAATCTCTTCACTTTCCATATGTTTACAAGTTTTCCCACGTTTGGCTAAATTCTTAATAGTCATTATTTCTTAGAGCATAAGAATATTCCATTTTATATCTATGCACAACAAGTTGTTTAGCTGGCTGTTTCCCAGCTGACAGATCTCTTTGCTTCAAGTTTTTTTGCCCTCCCAAAAAGCACAACCACTATTTTGGTGTATGTGGGATCTCTGTCTCAAACCTCCCAGAAGCCCACATACAGAGGAGAGATTACAGACATCAAGACAAGAGCACATCCTAGCGCTGGTTCCAGTTCTACAATTTACCTGCAAGCTGAGCTGTGATGGCCTGAAAGGGCAGCTTCCAGAACACGTCCACTAGAGGCTGTACTTTCCTGATGCTCACTAATTCATGTTTGCCATAGTCCAACTCATAAACAGATACCAGTCCATTGGTCAGAATTCCTTTTAAAAGTACCCTGTGCCACCTAAAAGTATTTAATGGGTTAAAGAGAAAAACAATTCAAGTAAATATCAACCTGATGGCTAATACCATGTTATGATGAAAAATTTAAAATCAGTGTGGGTGGTTGCTCTTTAAAGCTAGGATCAAAGGTCAAAATCATATAGATGCTGCACACTTTTTGAGGACACTACCATTTCTCAGCCCACAGGCTATCAGTAACATAGTTTGATTCAAGATTAGAATGAATATCACAAGATTAAGACATTAAAGATATTAACACAATTTTAGAATTCTGAACTTAATGCCAAATACAATGAGCATTTCCATATATAAGCAGAACAGAGAAAGAGAATTGTACACAAAACTATATATTCCTATTATTTTCTGCTTGCCTTTCCTTCTAAGTCTATAATAAATTAAAGGTATAACTTTCAAAGTTGTCCTGCTTAAGACAGTACAATAGAGAATGGTAGAACGAAAGAAAAAAAGAGCCTAAACGGAGCCCTAAAAGTACTTCTCAAATAAGGATTCTCCCACACATGTTAAAATCACATAAGATAGCATGACAAAACAGAGAGAAGGATTTACTTAATGGTGAATATCAAGTGAAGAATAAAATTGGAAGATGCATGCTCACTTATGTTATTCGCTAGTGTCATGGAAGATGTTCTACAGAGTCCAAATAGAAGATGGTTTCTCTACTGGTGACAAAGTTTTTCAAAGGTTCTTATCTACAGGGGGCACATTGTACTAGCTACATCAATTCCTGAAACAGCACAAAGCCTCAATAATAAAATCTACAGTTACTCAAAAGAGACTCGCCAAACCACCAAGATTTGAACATAGTAGATAAAAAACTGCCCAGAATAGGCATGCAGTTTGATGGGGTCTTTCTCTCTTTCTCTCCCTCCTCACCCTGTCATTGTACAGGCACAACAGACTGACAATGAATTGGACCCAAAATTAAACATCAGTGAGAGATTGGGCTGGATCAAATATGGGAAACTGTGGTATTTTTAAATATCCCAAGACTGCCATAAAAACTCATCTTTTAGGGAATTATGGTTTGTGTTCAAAGAAGTGCCATAAAAGACATCATGAAGAACCCATTTGAATTGTAAAATGAAGCTGGCCTGTCATGTAATGAGAATAAGGGATAGGAATGGTCAGCCTGAACGTGACAATGGTACCCACAAATGATTAAAAGAATCTGAGGAAGTCTTTCATCCTCTTAAGTAGGCTTCTTTATGAAGTATTTATGGAAAGATGCAGAATAAGTAGTCATCATGTGATCTACATGGGTAGAGAGTACCTCTACTACTATGAGGTTACAAATCTAAGAATTATAAAGTTTTTTCTTAATCCCTGAGATAAAATCTATTCCGTGCTTATTACCCATATAACTTAGGGCTTAATCATCCTAAATCTTTAGTTTTCTCATCTGTACCTAAATAGGTTGGATTTGATGGCCTCTGAGGCCTCTTTCCAGTTCTAGAACTAGGATTCAAGGATTTATCATGGTTAGCTGACATTTTTTTCATATGTTTCTGTTGGAGATTATACTCAAGCATGCTGTAGCATTTGAAGAGCTGTGAGATGCAAGGTCTAACATTAGCAAATCTCAAGTCTCCCAAAGTGATTTTTTTTGTAATTTTCTTTTGTACAAAAGTTTTTGCTTCACAGGCAGCAACACTTAGGGCAAAGGTGGAAGATGTGTATCACTACGATTAAAACTTTTCTAGACTAACCGCAGCACCTATATGGCTGTTAAAAGCCAAGGACAAACCACAATGAAATATGTATTTTCAAAAGTAAAAAGAAATGTCCTAAGAATAAAAAAAAAAGATTCTAACTCAGGCGAGTCTGTGTTCTGATTATATAATGAGAACTCTAACAACTATTCCATAGTCTAAGCATAAATGGGTTTTAACAGAATGGTGGTTACTGCAGTGGAATGTGAATTATAAAATTTTATAGGCTGGCAAACCCTACAATTAATCAGTCTCTTTTTCCATTTAAAATCTTCCCCCCTCCTCCCCAAGTTCCAAAATGACTCCACTGGAGCAGAGAACTTTTGGCACCGACTTTTCTAGAGGACAAAACTAATATCATGTGTAAGGATACCCCACTGTCACTGCACCTCCCAAATACCTACTTGTTTTCCACTTTTGCAGCATATACTTTGTCTTTTTCCACTGTTACAGGTCGCTCTTCAGAAACACTATAATACAGAATCATTTCTTCCATCAGAACTTCCAGTTTATGTAATTCTTGCCAAGGCTGAATAACAAAATGACCAGGATGGCAGGCCACTGGCACATAGACATCCATATGTTCTCCAGGCTTCGACAAAGGTATTGGAGGGGGAAGCTCCATCACAGAAAGGTTGGTGGTGTGTTGTATTACAGACTTTGGGATGGTATTGGTGATGTTTTTCTTGACACTTTCAAGAGTGGTTTTAGGTATTGTGACACTGTTATTTTTGTTGTTAGAAAGACTTGGACTACCTTCATTGGGTGTGGCACTCAAAAACACATCCTTCTGATGCTTCCACAAATCTGCATTTGTAATCTGCCGGTTAATGCTGCGATGAGGATCTGGGAAATTTTTAGGAGTAAATAGATAAATATGTGCAATCCCTTTGGGTTCATCCAATTTCATAACCTTTTGGAAAAGAAATGAAATGATTTAATAAAACAAGATCTACATTTATCTTAAAAAGGTAAAGTTATTTACAGAATCAACATCATGAAAAAGATGATATAGTATTTCATGTAAACTGTGCAAATTTAAGACATGACACATTTTCCATTGTGTTTTTATATAAAGTTAAACCAGCATTAGTAACTTTAGGGGACTGATTTACTTACCACACTTAAAAACCCAAAGAGAGTACTGTGATAAGAATTATACTTTGCTTAAACTTACTTTCATTTACGAAGTTTACATGTTCTGGGAAATATGAATAGTGGTTCTATGAGGAAATTTCAATGTTATTAACTCTCCCCTTCGAAATATTAAATTACATATGTAATTTTTACTATATGTTATTTTTGGGTATAAAAATAAGGTTATTTTTCTTTTTTGCTCAAAGTACTCTATGGTCAAATTACTTTGGAAAATGTCAATTTAGAGTAGCTATTTAATAACCAAGTAACTATTTTAGTTAGCTGATATATCCTCAGGCTGAGATGAGAATAAACAAAAGAGTTTGGTGACCCATTCTAAATTGCTAAGTGACCCAGACCCATGTGCCTCTAGCTCCTACTCCACCTGGGAGGCAAAAGTGATTCCCTATGTAGACTGGGCAAGGCTCTGGAACCCCTAATAAGGGAGAGTGCACATCTCTGGTTTCTGCTAGAAGAGTAAAAGGAAGCTAAAAATGCTAGAATTCTTGAACTAGATTTACTAGAATATGGGGACTATGCAGGAAATGGGATTTCTGCAGCAAAGAGAACTAGCATGGGAACCTTCCACTGTATAAATTGCAACTGTCTATTTAAAATCATAGGTTCACAGATTTAGAGCTGGAAGAAGCCTCAGAGATAATCTAGTCTGACCTCTTCATTTTACAAATGAAGAAACTGAGGCCTAGAGAAGTTGAATGACTTGCCCGAAGTCATACAGGTAGCCAGCCAGGATTTGAATCCAGGTCCACAGACTTTAAAGCCAATGTTTTGTTTTCAGTGTGTAACAGATGACTTGGCAATAAGTCCTAGGAGGTTTGTCTGAGACACATAGATGCTACACGATTTGCCTAGCATCACAAAGTTAATAATTGTCAAAGACAGGACTGGAAAAGTCATCAGAGTGGTATAGCGGGAAAGAAAATGGATTTGGAGTCCAACGACCTAGGTTCAAATTTCTTATTTTCTACTTACTACCCCTAGGTGACTTTTGGTCATTTACTTATTACCTCTCTAAAGACTCAGTTTCCTCATCTGGCAAGTCCCTTCCAGCTCCAACTCTGTGAACCTATGATAAAAACCCAGATCTCCATATTTGAAGTTCAACACAAAGACTGCGAAAGAGAAGAAGAGGTCAGGTTAAATTGCTTTAAATACCAAACAAAGCAGTTTATATTTGAACCTGGAAGTAACAGGGAGCCACTGGAATTTAGGTAGAGGGGAAGCAGTGTGACATAATAAGACCTGTGCTTTAAGAAAATCACTTTAGCAGGTCTGTGGAGGATGAATTGGTGCAGGGAGAGACTGAAGGAAGTCCAATTAGAAGGCTATGGCAATAGTCCAATTGAGAAGTGATGAGAGCATGAAATTGGGTGGTAGCTCTGTGAATGTGGAGAAAGTTGTATGGTAGAGATATTGCTGAGAAAGAAACTACAAGGTTTGGATTAGAAATGAGGGTTGAGTTAGAGAGAAGAGTCAAGGATGATACTAGGGTTGAGAATCTGGGTATCTTGAAGGACAGGAGTGCTCTCAACATAATAGGGAAGTGTAATAGACATGTTAGAATATTCAGTTTTGTTCATAAATATTTAAAAATACACTTGTCACATTCTAAATTTGAATCCATTTTTCTTTACCTTACATAAGGATAGTTAAGATACTATACGCTGTCACATTTCATTAGTACCTCCTTTTGAATCTTTTTATTTCTCCCTCAACTCCTATGTTAGCATCTTGTATACAGTGAGTGTCAGTCAGTCAACAAGTATTTACTCATCACTTACTGTGTGCCAGGCACTGTGCTAAGTGCTGAGGTTTCAAATAAGAACAAAAAAAAAATCTGTCCTCAAGAATACATTACAATGGGGGACACAACATGTACTTTACTAAGTAAACCTAAGCTAAGATGAAGGTAAACTGACAGGGGAAAGCACTGGTAACTGAAGAGAATGCTTGACAAAGGGGTGTTGGGTGAACATCTTATATGAACTTTCATATGCATTTCTTCTTCTGTTGCTCCAATGCTACATTATTTCCATGTTTAACATAGAGGCAGATATACTATTCCAAATTAATAACAAAATTTTTTTATTGAGAATTACTGTGCCTAAAACTGCAGAGGATACAAAGGAAGCATTAAGACAATGCCTCTTGCCAAGACAAACTAACCATCTAGTTGGAAAGAGATAGTTAAGTCAAGGAACACCAGCAACATTGTACAATATGTAACTAAATTTAACTTGGGACTCAAACTCCTGGTTCTACAGGAGTTCAGAGAAGGAAAATAAAATCCATATGGGACGTATTTAGTAGGGGGAAGATGGTGTCTGAATAAAGTGGGAATGGAGTTGGGTTTTAATTTGACATCTCTGGAAAAGGGGCATTAAGGGGGGCAGAGCCAAGATGGCAGCATGAAAGCAGTGACTTGCTTGAGCTCTCCCCCAAATACCTCCAAATACCCATAAAAAATTGGCTCTAAACAAATTCTAAAGCAGCATAACCCACAAAAAGACAGGGTAAAACAAATTTCCAGCCCAAGACAGCCTGGATGGTTGATCGGGAAGGCTTATCGCGCCGGGTTGGGAGCGGAGCACAGCGCGGCATGGGCGTGGAGGCCACAGCGAACCTGGAGCAGGCCTCAGAGGACAGAATCACGGGCAGCTGTGGCAATGTCCAGACTCCTCAATCCACGAACACCAAAGACAACTTAGAAGGTCAGTGGGAGAAGTCTGTTTTTGCGGTGAGAGAAGAGCTAGGTCAGAGCCAGTTCCAGAGAGCAGAGTGTTGGTGCCTGGGCGGTGGCTGTGTTCTGAGCTTCTGGCCCACAGACTGAGGGGGAATCAAGTGGCTGATCAGAAGGGGATTGCAGGAATCATCTCTTTGCCAGTGCTGAGACAGGAATCTCTTGCTTTGCCCGTGCTTGGATCTGGGTCACAGTTCTGGGTGGTGGTCCTGGGGTGAGGAGGAGCACTGGCGCGTGGAGCTTGTAGTGGAAGCAGAGAGGAAACCCTCCTCACAGTTCCAAGAAAGAACAGACTGCTTGTGGCCGGTCACTCAAAGACCAGAGCTGAGGCCAGGAAAAGAGTAAACACCTCGACCCTTATCATACCATCTTGGAAGAACTGAAAATTTACAGGTCCCTAGAAGTATCTCTGAAAACAGCTATACAAACCCCCGAAGCCTGGGACAGTACATTCTCCACATTGGAAGCAGACTTTTGACCTTAACAAAGAGTTTAAAACTCAAGTAATTGGCCGGGATCATGAGCAAACCTCGCAAAAAGAGTCAGACTACATTATCTTACTTTGGTGAAAAAGAAGATCAAAACATACAACCAGAAGAAGACAACAAAGTCAAAGCTCCTACATCCAAAGCCTCCAAGAAAAATATGAATCAGTCCCAGGCCTTGGAAGAGCTCAAAAGGAATTTTGAGAAGCAAGTAAGGGAAGCAGAGGAAAAACTGGGAATAGAAATGAAAGTGATGCAAGAAAATCATGAAAAACAAGTCAACAGCTTGCTAAAGGAGACCCAAAAAAATACTGAAGAAAATAACACCTTAAAAAATAGCCTAACCCAAATGGCAAAAGAGGTCCAAAAAGCCAATGAGGAGAAGAATGCCCTAAAAAGAAAAATTTGCCAAATGGAAAAGGAAGTCCAAAAGCTTACCGAAGAAAATACTTTCCTTAAAAATTAGAATAGAGCAATTGGAAGATAGTGACGTTATGAGAAATCACGACACAAATCCAAAAGAATGAAAAATTAGAAAACAGTGTGAAATATCTCACTGGAAAAACAACTGACCTGGAAAATAGATCCAGGAGAGAGAATTTAAAAATTATTGGACTATCTGAAAGCCATGATCAAAAAAAGAGCCTAGACGTCATCTTTCAAGAAATTATCAAGGAAAACTGCCCTGATATTTTAGAACCAGAGGGCAAAACAGAAATTGAAAGAATCCACCGATCTCCCCCTGAAAGAGATCCCCAAAGGAAAACTCCTAGGAATATTGTAGCCAAATTCCAGAGTTCCCAGGTCAAGGAGAAAATATTGCAGCCAGAAAGAAACAATTCAAGTATGGTGGAAACACAATCAGGATAACACAAGATTTAGCAGCTTCTACATTAAGGGACCGGAGGGCATGGAATATAATATTCCGGAGACCAAAGGAGATAGGATTACAACCAGGAATCACCTACCCAGCAAAACTGAGTATAATCCTTCAGGGGAAAATTCCACATGCAACTGGGAAATAAGAAATACAGGAAATGAGGTACAGAAATCTATCCTGCCCTATAGGAAAACAGAATGGGGAGGGGATAAGAGAACGGCGGGGAGAGATAGAAGGGAGGGCAGACTAGGGGAAGAGATATTCAGAATGCCTGCCATCTTGGGGTGGGGGAGGGGCAATATGGGGTGAAAATATGGAATTCAAAATCTTGTGGAAAAAATAAATTTACACACCAAAAATAAATAAATAAATAAATAGAGGGGAAAAAAAAAGAAAAGGGGCATTAAGATACAAAAATAGCAGATTTCTTTTGGAGATGTTCAAAAACAGAAATACAAGCAAATCAATTTAAAATTCAAATCCAAGAAAAGGAAAACCAATTATTTCAACCATTATTTTTTGTTTATAACTCAAATTATGCTAGTTATGTTGCATTTCAGAAGTATATGTTAATTATATCCACACAATTCATACCAGTTAGCCAAGTATACCTAAATCTTTTGTGTGCTAGTAAGAGGCAGCATGGTGCAGTAGTTAGAGCTCTGGACTTAAGAGTCAGTTGGGGTCCACGGAACTATCAGCTGTCTGCCTCATCCTGGTCAAGTTCCACCCACCCCTCTTACCCAACGGAACCTCCCCAGGCGCTAAAGGAGAAAGCCAGCACTATCCACCACACAGCTCTGCCACAAGAAATTGTATAATAAATCAGAGAGTGCTACATTGGCAAGTTATTATAGAAAACAGAAGTTCAAGCATTTAAGTAAAATTCTATGCTTAATTATAATTTCCAAAAGAGAAATGTTTCATGTTATGGGGTATTTAATTCCTCATCACCAGTTAAAATGGTGGCAAAGTGACATCTATTGGCATAACTGCGGCACATGAATGAGAGAGCAAAATAAAGGCTATCCTAGGGGTGGGGAATCTGTGGCCTTGAGGCCACATGTGGCTCTCTAGGTCCTCAAGTGTGGCCCTTGGACTGAATCCAAACTTCAGCGAACAAATCTCCTTAATCAAAGGATTTGTCTGTAAAACTTGAACTCAGTCAAAAGGCTGCACCCAAGGACGACGTGTGACCTTGAGGCCGCAGGTTCCCCACCCCTGGATACTCACAAAAACTTCACAGTGTGCTCAGTAATAAGGACACAAGGTAGGACAAGTGTTTTACAAATATCACAAAAATTTAGGACAATTTCTCAAACAAGAAATCATTTATCCACGAGCTACCCCATATATACAAACATAATGGAGCTTATGCCCAACTCTGAAGGAAAGTCTTCATTTTACTAAAAAATAAAATCTTTCAGTTACATTTATAGCTTTTTCTTGTTAGAGCTTTTAGTGATTAGGTTGTTCAATAAAATGCTAACCTTAATGCTGCAATCGGAGCAGTTCAAAACCGTGTCTCTTAACCAAAGCACAGCATCTGGTGTCCACATGCTAATAGTAAGTGGAAGATCAGCTAAACAGCACTTAATGGCCTGAAAATAAAGTAAAATAAAAATGTATGAATGTTTTTAGCTCATGCCATTCTAATGTGTTACTTACAATAAAAACATTATTTTCTATAATTCAGAGATGACCAAAGCACAAAACAATCAAGTACTACTTTTGGAAACACATTCTTCATTTGGAGGACAACACTGAACACAACCACAAAAATTACTACAGCATTTTAGTTCTCAGTTCGTGAAGAACTATAGCCTGGGCAGAGCTGCCAGCTCTGCCACCTACTTCTTTAGGGACTGTGTTCACGTCTGTTCAACCCTCTGGGCCTCTGCTTCATCATATGTAAAATGGGTGGCCCTAATAAGACGGCCTCTAAGCTTCCTTTTAGCTCTAACTCTATGATAAGATGAAATCTAACAGATAATTAAAAAAAACCCTTCATTACTGCCTTTGGTTTTTACCTTATCTCTTGTTATTTGTTGTTGTCATTCAGTTGTGTCCAACCCCTTGTGACCCCATTTAGGGTTTTCTTGGCTGAGATACTGGAGTGGTTTCCCATTTCCTCCTCCAGCTCATTTTTATTTTTTTAAAATTAATTTATTTTGATTTATCAATAATCACTGCCATAAGCTTTTGAGTTTTAAATTTTTCTCCCCCTCCCTCCCCAAGATGGGGCACAATCTGATATAGGCTATACATATACATTCCTATTAAACATAGTTTCACATTAGTGATGTTGTAAGGAAGAATTAGAACCAATAGAAGGAACCACAAGAAAGAGAAAACAAAACAAAACAGAAGAAAAAAATAGCAAATAGTACGCTTTGATCTGCATTCAAACTCCACAGTTCTTTCTTTGGATGTGGATAGCATTTTCTCTCAGGAGACCTTTGGAGATGTCTTAGATTCTTGAATTGCTGAGAAGGGCTAAGTCTATCACTGTTAGTCATCACACAACGTGGCTGTTAACTGTGTGTGTACAACGTTCTCCTGGTTCTGCTCACTTCACTCAGCATCAGTCCATACAAGTCCAGCTCATTTTTAGATGACGAACTGAAGCAAACAGGGTTAAGAGATTTGCCCAGTCACGTAGCTAGTGAGTGTGTGAGGCTGGATTCGAACTGAGATCTTCCCGACTTGAAGCCAGACACTCTACTCACTGTACCACCTTGCTGCCCCAGTATGAAATGCTAAAATTTAACACGATTATTAAAACAAAAACCAAAACCCTCATTACTACCTTTGGTTTTTACCTTATCTCTTACCATATACCTCATTTCTATCTGAGCAGCAGCTACTAAGCAAGAGGTAAATCACCACACCTGAGCCTCCCCTCCTCTTGGAGTCCTATAAAGTTTTCTGGGCTGAGCCTAGGCAAAATGGTGAAGGAGGTGAAGCTTGTTTCCAGCGCCCTTGTCTTTCAGCTTCCTTTCTGTACTTCCATCTCCTGAGCTGTCCCACACTATGATGCTTTTCCTGGGCACCAATAAACGCCCCAGACTCTTTCTGAGCTCCTCTCTCCTATCAAAACGTACTCAAACCTCGTGACTATTCTAAGCTTTCATTTTAGTGGCAATATGGAGAGACTCAATACAATAAAACACATTCATTTGTATTTCAGAAATGGACGAGGGTTATTGTTGTTGGGGCAGCTAGGATAAAGCACTGGGCCTGGAGTCAGGAAGTTCTGAATTCAAATATGATCTAAGACACTTAAAAGCTGTGTGACCGCAGGCAAGTCACTTTACCCTGTTTGCCTCAGTTTCCTCAAATGCAAAATGAGCAGGAAAAGGAAATGGCAGATCATCCGATATTTCTGCCAAGAAAACTCCAAATGGGGTCACCAGTGAAAACAACTAAACAACAATAACAATGGGATATAAAGGTTAGTAAAAAGAATGATTTAATGCTTTGTTTTTAAGCATTCTAGCAATATGCATTTGCAAACAATAATAATTGCAGTATATGTATGCGAATGCCAGTACTGTTTATTTTGCAATCATATTTTAATTACTGATCATTTTTGTCTGTTCATTAAAGCTTGACTCCTACTATGCAAATAATTTATTTCTGATTAACTGTCTGAACTTAGAAATGATAAAACTGTATTTCTTAAAAATACATTCATACAAATAATAAAAAATAAGTGATAGTAATCTAAGTTTGAATTGGCAAAATTTTACTATACTTCTGTAAACAACTAAAATTAGACAAGTTTCAACTTAAAAATAGGATTTAGACTAAACTGAGAATACGTTTTCTTAAGAGTATCTAGTAGTAGTAAGGCTATACTCCAAGTAGCTTTCTAAAAATTAAGTGACATGTTACCTGGGGTGGTATTACAATCAATTCTTGTAGAAATCGAGGTGGAATTTCTCTGAGTTCTGACACTTTTACAGATGTAACTGTGCCAGTATCCAAGAACTGAACATCAAGAGCCCGACTACTGTGAACATTTGTTATCTGGAATGAAAAAAGCATTTATTAACTTAAGATGGACAAAGCATAGAGATATTTGAGCACTAGAATTCCAGCTTACATTGATGATATCTTAGCACTAGAGCTGCCAGGGATGTCAAAGGCCATCCAGTCCAATTCCACCATTTTACAAATGAGGAAGCTGAAGCTTAGTGATGTTAAGTGACTTGCCAACAGTAATACAGTTCTGTTAAGTGTCAGAGGCACAATTTAGCCCAGGCTTCTGACTCCAGAGCCAGGATTCTTTCTACTTTAACAAGCAACAAATAGGAGAAAATATCAGCAACTAACCAAACAGATTGGTTAATTGTCCTAAATTTAAAATGTACTTTTATATGTTTTATTACTATGGGAAGATTTAATAATCATTCTTTCCTACAGAGCACATTTTATACAGTATGATATCTTATTACATACTCCTCGCAAGTCAGAAAGTTTTCATTTAAAAATTATATTTACATCAAATCAACCAGTTAAGATTTTAAGATATATTATCCTGGATCAGACCAATTGTTTTCTTTGTGCTAGTTGTATCACAATGGCTAGCATACATTACGGTAACATTTAAAGATTGAGAGAGTTCTTCAAATAACCCTACTTTCCCTTAAAAAACTGTGATATTTGTAGTCATTGAAAAATAGGCTTAACTTGGTTGAGACTACCCTTTGGAAACTTATTACATAATACCAAAGTCTCTATACACTACCAGGTAAGCCTTGAATATGGTATGAAATAAATATTTTAGTGATGAGGCCTCATTTCAAAACAGAATTTTTTATTTAAAAAAAATGGAACATAATATATAAATATTATAAATGAACAGAGAAATACCATATAGAATAACATCTAAACCAAGTGGACACAGAAAGGTGTCACTTCTCCTGAAATGTAACGTCACCAGCTGCTACTTCACTTGCCATCAAACAGCTCTCCAAGTCTGATATCCTCTTGGTCTAACCTGAAATCACACAGAGAATTCAAGGCCTTGAACCCTCGTCCTAAGTCTTGGACTCAGCATAGATAGCCATAGCAGTCTACATGGCTGCAGGCTCAGAGACTGGTAGTCACTCGAAGTGCTAAAACTTCTAACTTTCTCTGAGTAAAGACTATTGCAGACTGCCAGGTTGTTCTTATTACAGTTTAGGACAGGTTGATCACTAATATCTAATCTCAACTCCCCAGTGATAAACTAAAAGCTCGGTCAGTGTGCAGTCAACCACCTTCCTCCCTGTAGAGTCTGTGCTCTGACCAGCAGGCACACTGGAAACATTGTACATGCTGCTCCGGGTCGATGGGGCAATGATACCAGACAAGGAAACTACTCAAATTCCCTTTTTCTTGGTTTACTGATTTAAAAACATAACACCTTCAGAGTGTGGGAACCGAAACTGAAGGAAAGTGGAGAGATAACAAAAGAGTCCTTTACTGCCCTATGGGGGAATCAAATCACTGCCCCAGACAAATTACATCCTAGATTATGAAAATAACTCACAGTTGTGGTCCCTGAGGCACTATGGGTGACTGAGCAAACATGGAGACAAGTAGTGTGTTCTAGGGCAGGAAACAGGTAAAATACCCCAATTTTCAATGAGGGAAAGAAGGTGAACTCCACCTTCAAACTGTAGGTGGAGGAGTTTGATGCTGACCCTGACAAAAGTCTGAAATGAATTACTCAAAAACATCTATTTAGTTGTTATAAGTTCATTAAGAATAATCATGCCAGACTGACCTCAGCATTCAGTACTTTTTTTTGGACAATTCGGACTGGTAGCTCAGGGAAATGCCAGAGACAGTATAACTGGATTTCAGCCATTCATTTATTTGATGAAATGACATCTTTGTTTTGAAGGTAAAGTTTGGTGGATTTGGAAGTAACTGAACAACTGACCACAAAGAGTACTGATTAATCCTTGATGGATCAATGTTAACCTGGAGGGATATCTATAATGTTATGCTACAAGGACTTTTTTATTTTATTTTATTTTTTAAGAACTTTGTTTTTAAGACACACTCCATTCAAAGTATTTACCAAAATTTGGATGAATATACACTTGCTTATTAAACTTGATGATGACACAAAGCTAAGAGGGATAGCCAATATAATAAACAGGGAAATATAATCTAAAAAGACCTCAATAAACTGGAGTGAGACACCCAATTAAGAAAATGAAAATTGATAGGAATAAACATAAAAACAAATGTGTAGCTCAAAAGAAATCAACTATGTAAGTACAGGACAGAGGAGACCAAACTATATATAGTAATTCATTAAAAAAAAAAAAGGAGTGTTTTGGTGGACTGCAGGCTCCACAAGTTAACAGGGAGACATGGGAAACAAAAAACCTAATGGGGTCAACCTCAGGCAGTTCTGTATTATATAGAAACAGCATTTTTTCTCACCCAAAAACATGCTTTCTGGTTCTCTAATGAAAACAAAATAAAAAAATAAAGTTTTGAACAGTTTTAAATAATTTATTTCAAATTAAGAACAGAAGAAGGATGATTTTTTTAGAAGAGTGTTATTTCTCCGAGGCAGAGTTGGAAGGGATTTCAGAGGTCATCTAGTCCAACCCATAAATGAATAAGAATTCAATGTACAATCTTCCTCACACATAGTTATCCAGCCTTTGCTTAGAAAGCTTAGAGTGATAGGGAAATCACCAGCGCCAGAGGCAGCCACTATACTTTTGGACTGTTCATTTCACTTTTGGATAGCTCTAATTGTCAGGAAGTTCTTCATCACATTAAGCCTAAATCTGCCTCTTTGTAACTTCTATCCAACGTTCCCAGTTTCATCCTCTCCAGTCAAGCAAAAGAAGTCATCTTCCACAGGACAACTATTTGTTGATTACTTGAAAACAACTGTTTGGGCCCTGCCAAGTCTTTTGTTCTCTATGCTAAAACACCTCCAGGTCTTTCAATAGAACTTCACATGGCATGACCTCAAGTACCTTCTTCATCCAGGTAGTCAGCCCTTTATTGGGCATCTTCCAAGCTTATCAATATCCTTCCTAATATGTATCTTGCAGTTCATAATGAGGGGGGAGATACAAGAAATATGCTATGTAACAAGTCAAAGGAAGTAGAATGCATCTTTGATGACATTTGTAGAGCCCTGTGTTGTTCCTTGCTTCATACTCAGTTTTAGCACAAAGTCGAATTCTAAACTGCAGCTTCTGACAAATTCACCTGTACATCAGTGGTTCACCAGGAGGCACACTATCATGCTCTTGTTGAGGGGGAAAAGAGCACTGAATAGAAGTACAGTGCATAAATAAAAGGAAGTGACAGTTCTCCTATATGTTATCCTGGTCAGATAACATCTAAAATACTGTGGTCACAATTCTGATTGCCACATTTCCAAAGAGAAAGCGACAAGCTGTATTGTAACCTGAAGAAGGCTGAAAAGGATGGTGAGGGGATTTAAGGTCATGCTACATGAGGTTCAGCTAACGATTCTGACTTATGATAAGGAAAAGCTTCCTAACAACAACAATTTTGTAAAAGCGGAAGAGTTGTCTCAGGAAATAGTGAGTTCCCTGTACCCAAAAGATCTCAAAGACTGAATAGCCACTTAGAAACATTTCAGAGGATTCATGCTTCAGTTAGGAAACAGATTAAAAGATTTTTATCCTTTCTATCCCTGAGATCCTCTGATTTATACTGGAAACAAATGCAAGGCTTGTTTTAGAACAAGTGCCAAAATAACAACTGTATACAAAGGGAGAGAAGTGTATAGCCTGCAGTTGTCATGGAAACTATCCAGTGAGGGAAAATCCTGAGCTAAGCTTTGCAGGATAGGTAGACTTTGGATAAGCAAACCCAAGGAAGGGGGGAAAGGTATTTCAGGCTGGGAGAATAGCTGAACAGAAGTTGGAGTTAGGAATGAACATAGTATTTTGCAGGGACATTGGAGTAGGGATTTTATTTTGGGGAGAAAATAATGTTGGTTCGGTAGGATGATGTCAGATTGGGGATGGCTGTGAATACCAAACTTACATACATATATGCAAAATAGAAATAGTTAAGATTTTTGAGCATGAAAGTAAGATGGAGAAATCTTGAGTTTTCTTGAAGATTAATTTGGTAATCATTTGCAGGATGGATGGATTGGAGGTGTAAAAGTCTGGAGGAGGACAAGCCAGGACACTATAATAATAATCCAGACAACAGGTGACAAATATGCTTGAACTTAGCTTTTAGCAGTAAAAAGGGACCCCAGAAACATTTCAAAGCTGAAGTGACTGAAATTAATGACTGAAAGAGGAAAATAAAAAACTGAGGTTTATAACTTAAAGACTAAGAAAATGGTGACTAATGTCACTGAAAGAAATAAAGAGGTTGGGGGATCAAATTTAGGGCAGAGAAGAGTAAGATAACTTGACATGCTTAATAGAGATACCCCATAGGTATATGATAGAGTTGAAGATAGAAATGTCAGTGCCATCTACATAAAAGTTACAGCTCAAATCATAATACAAGATCAATTCACGAAGGGAAAGAATATAGACATAAAAGAGCATATCTCAACTTTTAGCAATCCAGTCTGAAAAGTCCTATTTTTTTTAACTCCAACCTCATACAGAAGCTCCTATACTCATAAATACATTACACCTTTTTCATGTTACATATACATATACAAAAGGCAGTATGGAGAAATGATAATAATAAATAATGGAGAAAGAGTAGGCCTCAGAATCAGGAAGGCCCAGGATCAAGTCATGACTGCTGGCTAGTGTGATTAGTGTCACAGGTGAGTGGAAATGATTTAACCTCTCAGTGCCTAAGGTGACTCTTTAAGACTACAGGTTGTGGGGACAGCTAGGTGGCATACTGGACAGAGCACTGGCCCTGGATTCAGGAGGACCTGAGTTCAAATCTAGCCTCAGACACATAACACTTACTAGCTGTGTGACCCTGGGCAAGTCACTTAACCCCATTGCCTAGCCAAAAAAAAAAAAAGAAGCCTACAGGTTGTAGAAATG